AGCACCCTCGAGGCAGTTACATAAAGCTTACAACTGTCTCAGGAAGTCAAAGCGCCAGAAAATATATAAACTCATACGCAGCTGTCATCCGTACGCAAGGAAATAAGCACAAGATGCCGAACACCCTTAGCAGGATGCAGCGCACCCTTCGTGCGACTCGCCGAATATCTCACGGCGCTTCGCGCTTGGTGATGTGAGAGCCTGGTCCGGTGAGAACCCGGCATGCTCCGTCCCGGCTTTGTAGGGATGCGAGGTCAATGGTCTAAGGACTACGGCATGCACGACTATGAGTACACCCCCATGATCTCACCTGACGGCCCCTTCCTTGGTGAGGCCGGGCAACGCCCGGCCTAGCCAGTTATCTCGCAACCCTTCCACGTCCAGTGGCACCCCCGACACGTTGATCATCGTCACCCCGAGCAGCTGAACAGAAGGGAGCACCGGCAAATGTTCGAGACCATGATTTCGAAGCTACCTTCGCCAGAAACGTAATCTCAGGTCACGAATATACCGAATTCTGAACACGGTTGATTTGCTCACATTGAAGGGGTCGTGTGATGCCACTGTTTCGTGGATGAGCCAGACTCGGCCCCTTTGTCTCAATCTGATTTCTGTTCCGTTCTCTGCTCCCGTCTCTACTGATCAAGTAGCAAACAAAATCTCCCACTAAAAAAAAAAAAAAATACCGCGGTCTACTGAGGGCTCCCGTGCGTGATCAGAGCAGTGAGTTCATTGGACGCGCTGCAGGTAGCCGTACAGTCAATGAAAAGGCTCAGATTCACACGCAGCCACGTGTGTTTAGAAATGTATAATGTCCAGGTGCCCTGTATCCAAGGGTTGTCTGCAGGCGGACAAGCCTATATGCAGGTCCTTAAGTGTGTCCATAAACAAGTCTGTGTACGGTCATGCCGAAGTCTTTTCCAGACCGAAGTCGCTCGTCGAGGAGATGGCCCAAGTCGATGTCGATGCTCAATGCCGCGTTTGAGGTTTGAGGCATACTTGCAAGGCTAAGACGTTAAGGGATGGTTGGAAGTGAGCCTGGTGGGGCTCGAAACACCTCGTGATGTCGGTACAATTGCGATCTCTCCAGCTCGTTCCTGGAATGTTTCTGCCAGAATCGTTCACTTCGCTCTTCACACTTCAGTCAGAATCCAGTTCACGTCCGACTTCACGTATCTCTGAATTTTACTCAATTATTCTCGCTGGTACTTGTCCGGTCCCCCGTTCTTGCTACTGTTCACCAACACATCCATGACGGGTTGATGAACCAACCGTAGCAAAAACGAGGGACCGGACAAACCCACTGAGAATGAATGAAATCCATAGAGACAACGGACGAAGTCGGACGTGGACCGGATTCTGACCGAAGTAATGGATGATGGGAAAGGCAGAGCGAACAATTTTGGAGAGGCAATATCAGAAACAAGGGTGATGTAGAAGATGGCTTACGCAAGCTACCGGTGGCTAATAACAAAAGTTTTAAAGAGCAGAAGAACCTTTCAAGACAGTATCACCAAGAGTATCATCTCGGGGATGAGAAACCATGGTGCGACAACGTACTGAAGGTCAAATAATATGTAAATAAGGAGTAGAAAGGGAAACCATGAAGAGAAGGATAACAGCACGAGTTAAATGCTTACCGGTTTCGGTAGCTTGCAAAATGCAGGAGTGCGGACGAGGTTCGCATAGACCTGCAGGATGGAATTGTGCACTAGTTCTGAATCTAGGAGGAAGTTCTCGAAGCACACGCAACGTTACATCAAGCGGGCGGGTCGAACAGCGCATTATTGCTGTAGCAGAAGCGTAGTAACATATCGTGCAATGCCGCTGTGTTGCTGATTACATTGTAGAACGTGACATTTGGCTCCAATCGCAACAAAGATGTGGAGACATTGACTTTCACTCCAAAACTGCTATACTTTCACTCTTAGGCGAAATGCTGGAGTACGGGGGGGCGAATTTACAAAAAATCGTCCCACATACATCACGGATATCGTTGACGCAATTTCTGCAACACAACTGCATTGGTTTCACTCTGCCATCACCTGCCGTCATCAGGGCGAAAAATGAAAACACTACAAGGCCGAATGGAAGCAACCTTGGTCGCTTGGAACCAAGCGGGTTTTGCGAACCTCGTAGTGAGACATCAACTTTCACTTCAAAACTGCTTTGACACATATCTGCGGCCAAGTGAGTGCCCGTTGGGGAAAATTGAAAACAAACATGTTGTCCATTCCAAGAAAGGGCACAGAAGTTGACGAGGCTCCTGGAAAAATATTTCCAAAATGTATCGTGTGTCTACAGCGAGCAGGGGACAGACTGCTTTGATTTTCTTCTGCAGCCAAGTATCGTCACATGGGGGAACAATGCAAACACAACACGACCGAGTTGAAGTGTGATTGGACGCATGGAATACGAGGCCTTGCGAACCTTGTGGCATTGACGTGCACTCCAAAACTGCTTAGCTTCACTCTCCGGTCAAGGATCACAAATCGAAAAGAATCTCAAAGACGGGAAAAACGGAACAGTTGTCGCAAAATCTGGAACGTTTCCAGTATGCGTTTGAACAACAGGGGGAGGCAGCCTGCTTTGATCTGCGGCCAAGCGTCACACATGGGAAAAATGACAATATCACCCCACAAGACAACAAACGAAGAAGCCATCGAACTTATTTGTGCAAGACTATTCCCAGTGTGCCAACCCTTGAAAATGGACCGATCGCACTCAGCCCATCAACCAACAAATATTGGATTGTTCACAAGAATTTGACTTCAGCGCCAGGAGGAAGGACGTTTGGTTCGCCCACTCTGCAACGTCAACAACCAAACGCGCGCGTGTCTGTTATTATAATTCGGCCGGTCACCTGCTTTCTCAGCATCCGCTCCTGCCGAGACCCACCGGCCCTCAGCTTGCGCATCCGGCGCCCCCCCCGCGACCCCCCGCCCCCCTGTTGTCTTTTGGCGCTCCCCCTTGCTACCGGAGGCCTTTGAGCGGAGGGCAGCGTCTGGGTGGACTGGATGGAGATCGATCGGGCAGGCGAGGCGTGTGCGAGTGACTGTGCTTGGCGCGGGGGCTGTGTCCTCGTGTTTGTCGCGAGACCACCCATCAGGTCATAGCCCTCCCATCATGATTGCCACAGACGCATGTAGTCTGCGCTCAAGAACTCTCGACTGTCTGCCACTACAGTCTCACTCTCTCATCTTGCCATCTATGAGCGGAAAAAAAAACTACGACCGCAAGCTGTACGAGATCGAAACAACCAAACACAACGGTGCTAGGAAACAGGCGGCGCCAACATCAGCACGGGAAACACGCAGCTCGAGACAAACCAACATTTCACACCAGAGGCCGAACTTCACTTTTGGCATAACCAGAGAGGGGCGACGCCGTAACGAGGCGAGATACCAACGATGCCGAGTTTTCAAGACACGGCAACGACACCAAGATTCCAGAGCAGCTCGTACGATGTTCAAAAGAAAACGGACACAAGACATACTGACAACGACCGACGCAGTGCACAGCCGGCAGAATACAGCGGGTATTGCCTGCTCACCACCATGCCGTCAGCCCGGTGGTCGTACGCGAACGTGTTGAAAAGGCACTCCATTCTCTCAGGCGGCACCTGAAATTTACACGAATACCCCGGCCGACACGGTTAGAACATGAAACGGAGTATGTGGAGGCGTGACCATACCGCAAACCCTGGGGTCTTGTGAAAACGGCGATGAAAACACCTTCGCATGAGACATCGAATTCACTCTAGAGACTATACCAAGGAGGAGCAGAGGAGTTGAAGTTGTCTGTGTAGATGGCCAACACCACGCACAGCGGGGATATTGCCATTGGGTGGAGAGGATGAGGAAAGGTAGGAAAACAAAAGTAGCCCACAAGACTCTGCGCCTAGGAGGGGAAGGGTACTCCACGGCATCAAGAGGTTCACATATCAATGTCATCCATTTAGTGCCAAAGATTCTCCAACCGGAGAGCAAGTTAAGCCACGGCGAAACAAAGGTACGTCAACTGAGCGCCAATACGTGAAGTGAAATTGGCGATGCACATGCTCACCCGCTAACGTTGCACTGCTGTAGCACATCAAATTCATGAACACCGTGAACGAGTGGAGTTGTCTGTGTAAATGCTCCACGGTCACGATGGGGTGAGGCTTGGATGAAAGGGAGTCCGTGCCGCTAAACAATGTTCACTCTTCAAAACTCTACGCCAGAGGAGGAGCAGAGTACTCTCCAAGGCTGATAGAAGGACATCTAATTTTGTGTTCCCAGGTGGAATAAAGTCGTCGATGCAGATGCTCCGCGGCTACTAACGAGTACACACCGATGTACTGTCACAAGGCGAGGTGAATTCATCCGCATGGATGCTCCACGGTTTCAAGGTGTGGTCCAACATGGCTTCAGAGGAGGAGGCTTGGAAGAAATGTACTTCCTCTGTATCATAAGTTAGGGTACCTAAATTTGTACGGGCCCTTAAGCGTGTCCGATCTGTTTTCCGATTTTTTTGTTGAAATCTTCGGAGTTTTTTTAGCAAGAAACATTTATTTTTATTTTTATGCATGCGCCACCCCGCGTGCATGAGCGGCCGAGAAAAAACCAGTCGGCCTGAAAAAGGCCGTATTTTGCATGTATCCTGCCCCCTCCGACCAGGCAGGGGGGGGCGGGGCAATGACAAAAACAAGGCAAAAATACCAAGAATTATCCCTGACCCTAAACCTAGCCCCCCCTCTACTCAACGATCCATGACGCGTCCCCATACTAAAAACAGCATAATAGTGGCTCCCACACTGAAAACAAGACACTTGGGGGTTCCACACTAAAACCAAGACACTTGCGGGGCAAAGCAAGCAACAGTAGGGCCCTCATCCAACCCCCCTCTCTACTCAACGATCCATGTCGCGCCCCCCTATACTAAAAGCAGTATAGTAGTGAACCACACTAAAACCAAGACACTTGGGGGTC